TCCAGAGTAGGTGCCTGCACCACTTCTGGAGGGAGTCTATTCCAGGTCTTGGGGGCTCGGACAGTAAAGAAATTTTTCCTTATGTCCAGCCTAAAACCGTCTTGGAGGAGTTTATGACTGTTGGTTCTTGTTTTTCCTTGGGGCACTCTGGTGAACAGACATTCCCCCAGATCCTGATGTACACCCCTTAGATACTTATAAGCAGCCACCAGGTCCCCCCTGAGCCTGTGCTTTTCCAGGTTGAAGAGTTCTGTGGCTCTCCACCTCTCTTCATAAGGCTATTCTCTTGCCCTCTGATCATACGCATGGCTCTTCTCTGGACTCTCTCAAGCTTCTTGACATCCTCCTTGAATTGTGGAGCCTAGAATTGGATGCAGTACTCCAGCTGCGGCCTCACCAAGGCCGAGTACAGTGGGAGGATGACATCCTGAGATTTACTTGAGAAGTATCTATGGATGTAGGCCAGAATTTTGTTTGCTTTGCCAGCTGCAACATCGCATTGGTGGCTCATGTTCATCTTGTGGTCAGTCATGACCCCCAAGTCTCTTTCAGCCATGGTGCTAGCAAGCGTAGCACTGCCGAGCCTATAAGTATGCGGTGGGTTTTTTTTCCCCGAGGTGGAGTACCTTACATTTATCAATATTGAATGTCATCAGGTTTGTATCCGCCCACTTACTAAGTTTATCCAAGTCAGCCTGGATCATTAGCCTGTACTCAGGTGTGGATGCTGTGCTTCAAAGTTTAGCATCATTGGTGAACTTAGCTAGTGTGCTTTTTGACACCAATGTCCACATCGTTGATAAAGATGTTAAAAAGAACTGGCCCAAGGACAGAGCCTTGGGGGAAGCCACTGGACACGGAGCGTCATGATGATTTGCTACCATTGACCACTACTCTCTGGGTCCGACCTCAAAGCCAATTACCCAGCCATTGGACTGTGGTGAAGCTGAGGCCACAGTTGGCCAATTTTTCTATGAGGAGGTCATGGGACACCAGACCAGAAGCTTTTTTGAAGCCCAGATATATGACGTCAATCTCTTCTCCCTTGTCTAGGTGATATGTCACCTGGTCATAGAAGGAGATGAGATTGGTCAGGCAAGACCTACCCAAGACAAACCCTCAGGATGTTGCCCTCAGCCAGCTTATCCAGAAGGGTCTCCTTGATGATTTCCTCCAGAATATTACCGGGAATTGACGTTAAACTGATTGGCCTGTAATTCCTGGGATCTACTTTCTGCCCTTTCTTGAAGATGGGTACCACATTGGCCTTCTTCCGGTCTTCAGGTACTTCACCTGAGCACCATGAGTTTTTGAATATTTTTGCCAATGGTTGGGCTATGATACCTGCCAGCTCCTTGAGTACTCTAGGGTGTAATCTGTCAGGACCAGCTAATTTGAAGGTGTCCAGCCTCTCAAGGTGATCCTTTACTAGATCAACACCGATGCCGATATAAATACACCCTCACCCTGGCTGTCCCGCATCTTGCTAGGCAGGGCGGTCCCATTGGACTGATGAAAGATTGATGTGAAGTACCCATTAAGCAGATTGGCCTTTTCCTGGGTGTCGGTTATCAGCTGTCCTGTTTGTTCAGCAGAGGTCCAATGTTACCCTTGTTTTTTTTCCTACATATCTGAAAAAGGGCTTTTTATTATCCTTGATATGTGAAGCCAGATGGAGCTCGGTTGCAGCCTTGGCTTTCCTGATCCTCTCCCTGCAGGTACGGACCAGTGCTGAGTACTCCTCCTTGGTGGTACTTCCAGCCTTCCATCCTTTATAAGTCTCTCTTTTGAGGTATAGGATGTCCTTAAGTTCCCTGCTGAGCCAAGGGGGTTGCTGTGCTCTTTTGAAGGTTAGATTTTGTTTTACAAATCTGAATAAGAGATGTACTGTGGCAGAGCACCTTTGGGTGCCTGCCACTTTAAGGGCGAGAGCAGACAGCATGGCAACCAGCAGGTACAGGCCAGCCTTGATGAGAAAGTCACATGGCCACAGACTGGGCTATGTGATTGGAGGAGAGGGCTGAGAAACCTCCATTTTAGCTCAGGCCTCAGGGCTGAGCCAGTAGTCTGCTGCTGGTAGCTGGGGAGCACCAACATCCAGGTGAGCTGCTGCTTGAAACACCCTGGAGGTAAGGGAGGAACTTTGAGGACGGTAGGAGGTTCTTAGAGGGCCCAGTGTGGTCCCAAGCCCCTGGAAGAGGGCTAGGACCTAGTAAAAGCAAAGTCAAACCTAGGCATGGGGCTAACAGCTTGTAGGCCTACAAAGGGGCAGGCAAGCCCCTGAGTAGGTCTAGCAGGGGTGAAGCCAGGGGCTCAGGTGATCCCAGTTGAGCTAGGCCTTAGCCAGCATTGTGGGGGCATTAGGCCAACCCAGATTAGGGTGAAGGGTCTATGGTGAGACCCAGGAGGGACCTCTCTGGAGTATGGGGGTCAGCGGCTGCTAGGCTGACTTTCTGATCCATCACACTGGTCAATGCAAAAGGGCCAGGGCTGGAAGGCCTAAGGGCAATTAAGCCTAATGCAAGGGGCAGGCCAGGGCCATGATGAGCTATCTGGCACCTTGACTGGCCTAGAGGCGGGGCCAGAGCCCGTAAGGGCAGAAGGTTGCTTTGATGAGGGGGGCATCACAGCCAAAGAGGTTAGGGGTCAGCCAGCAAGCCGGCTGTTATGAAATCTGAATGGGGTCAGAGTGAGAGCTGGGCCCACAGAGAGAGAGAGGCCAAGTACGTCATCCAGGAGCCCTAATGAGGGAACTAGACTAGGGCAGGTAGGCCTGCATGGTCCTGGACATGATCAGAAACTGCAGCCTGCTGGGGAAGGGTGGTCTGGTGGGGCTGTCCATGGCGGGACAGTCCCCCCCAGAAATGCCAGACCAGTTACTTCCCTGTTGAAAGGTGGGTAGGGGCGCCTGATAACCCGAGCCCACACTATCCGGTGGGTCATTAAGACTGGAGGGTAGTGAAACCAGGTATGTCTAGATGGAGGCACCTGAGCCCAGTGTAAATAGTTGGGGTTAGGTACTCTTGGCAAGAAGCACCTGAGCCCCATGTGGGGGCATAAGGTCCCGGTGGCCCTAGTTGGAAGGGGCTGTAGTAATGAGGCGCCAGAGCAGGGCTGGTGAGTGGTAGGCCCTAGGATGAGGGCACAAGTGGAAGCCCCAGGAGGGAGCAGTGAGGCCAAGGTTGATTTTTGGATGCCTGAGGCCATGTGATGCAACTCAGTAGGAAGCTCACCCACGACGAGTTTGGCTCAGCCATGAGCCAGAGCAAAGCGCAACTCTAGGATGCCATCTGTGAGGCATGGGACACAATAAGGGTAAGTCAGAGTCGTGTGTACACCTCTAGGCATCGGGGTCTTAAACAGGCAGCCTCTCACATTTTTACAACCAGTATTTTAACAACAAGGCGTGACAGGAGAGATTGGGCAAACTGCCCTACTTAGACAGGTGGGCGGGCCAATGTGAGACCCGGTCACAAGCATTGCCCCATCACATGTACATTTAACTATAATGACTACAGGACTAATAAAACAATAACTTTGGGCAAGCTTTTGCCCAGCAAATTAGTACAGATCCCAGTAAAGTTGTATTTGTTTTTGCTCTGATCTTAAATTGAATAATATAGCACTGGGCCCCTAGCATATTAGTAAATCTTCTGGTTTCTCTTTAACTGAAAAAAATGTGTTGTGTTGTAGGTGATGATGCACCTACAACACCTGAACCCCGCTTTTCAAAATTCTAGATCTTACATCATACTTGCATCATACTCATCTGATCCTTAGAACAGTTATGCTGTCTGTTGGATATGTCCACTTCTGCAGAGTCTTGGTGGGAGACCATCCTAGAAACTCTTTCAAAGGAAAAGCATAATACCCAAGTGATTTCATTTCAGGGAGGAACTTACATGGAATACATACACTTACATTCATTTAGATTTTATATTTTTGATTTCCAAACTACACCCTATAATATGTTAAAAATGTTGGTAGCATCGTACAATAGCAAGGATCTGATTGTAGTGAAATGATAGTCAGATTTCCATCCAACCCAATAAAAATATACCTTCTAGTATCTTTCTTATTCCAAATCATTTTGGGATTAAAAGCTCTTGTCTTCAGTCATCCTGCTGGTTTATGCAGTATTAACATCAGCTGGATAGTACCAAAAGATTGGAGGTTTTTGGTACTATCCAGCTGATTGGTGAGAGGGGAGGGCAAGATTTAGGCTCCTTAGATTTTAGATGGTTATCAAAATGAGTACAACATAGGGCAAACTTAAAAACATTAGAAACTTTCATCTGTAGCATTTGGTGTAACCCAACAGGGGTCAGTATAAATCTAGGGAATTTGTTTCAGCCAG